TCCCGCCTCTCCAGCATGCACCTTCCCTGTAGGCAACAGGGTTTACCCATTTGCTTTTCGCCTTACCTTGAACTTCAAGTGCCCTTTGGAGGAGGAAAGGCCCAGTGGAACTTGAGCGATACATACGGAGAGGGTAGATAAGCAGGGGTTAGAAGCGCTTACGCTCCGTTTAGAAGCACCAGAACTGGCACTAACCATCAGTGCTCGTCAGAAGCACTCTGTCTGCTGTGGGGCTCGGATCTGAGTCGGAAGCCGACACAGGGAAGCCCCAGAACTGAGGAGCAGAGACCTGAGGATGAGAGATGTGTGTTCAGGTCTCTGCTCTGCCACCTGCCGTATCTGGGAATTAATACTACCATCTGGGCTGCCTAATTCACAGAGGGTTGTATGGAGGTAAGGACGACCTGGGAATGACCTTTGCAAGGGCGGTCAGTGGAGTACAGATAAATCAGTGTGATCAAAGATGACCATCCTGGTGATGATGACTTCGACCTCCAGCCTGTGTGAGGGACAGAAAGCCCTGGTAAGACACGTGCACAAAACCATAGAGAGGAGGGCTGGGGGCCGTGGCAGCCCCAGCTCAGCATGGCCAGCCAGCACGTGGTCCTGGGCAGAGTCCAGGGTCAGGAGCCAGGCCTGCTGCCTCGAGGCAGGAATGTGTGCCCGCCTCCCTTCTCTCTCCTTCTAGAATCACCAGAACTCTTCAGTTGGGAATAGAATCAGGAAAGCTCCTCGAGGGGAAAGTTTTGTGGGCTGAACCTTATTAATTTTATATTTAAGGTTCCATCCATTCATTATTATATAACATTTCACAGTTATTTAAGGTGCATGTTCAGTTCAGTTCAGTCTCTTAGTCATGTCCGACTCTTTGCGACCCCGTGAGCCACAGCATGCCAGGCCTCCCTGTCCATCACCAACTCCCAGAGTCCACCCAAACCCATGTCCATCGAGTCAGTGATGCCATCCAACCATCTCATCTTCTGTTGTCCTCTTCTTCTCCTGCCCTCAATCTTGCCCAGCATCAGGGTCTTTTCAAATGATTCAGCTCTTCGCATCAGGTGGCCAAAGTATTGGAGTTTCAGCTTCAACATCAGTCCTTCCAATGAACACTCAGGACTGATCTCCTTTAGGATGGACTGGTTGGATCTCCTTGTAGTCTAAGGGACTCTCAAGAGTCTTCTCCAACACCACAGTTCAAAAGCATCAATTCTTTGGCGCTCAGCTTTCTTTATGGTCCAACTCCAACATCCATACATGACTACTGGGAAAACCATAGCCTTGACTAGACGAACCTTTGTTGGCAAAGTAATGTCTCTGCTTTTTAATATGCTGTCTAGATTGGTCATAACTTTCCTTCCAAGGAGTAAGCGTCTTTTAATTTCATGGTTGCAGTCACCATCTGCAGTGATTTTGGAGCCCAGAAAAACTAAGCCAGCCACTGTTTCCACTGTTTCCCCAACTATCTGCCATGAAGTGATGGGACCGGATGCCTGAGGTTCTTTCAAAAACACCATGTCAGGAATCCTGTATTATCCCCATTTCACTGGTGAAGAAATTGAGGGTGAGATCGGGTGAATGAACTATCATCACACCACTAGTAACTTGAAGCAACCATTTCTGACTTCAAGTCCTGTGTTCCTGTAAATGCTGTTCAGTGAACTACAACAAACCTAAAGGAAGATGAGAGGGAGGGGAGATGGGAGAGGAGAGGGGAGGAAGGAGAGAGGGGAAGTAGGAGAAAGGGGAAGGGGGGGAGACTAGAAAGGGAAGGAGGTGAGCAGCAAAGCAGGGAAGGAGGAAAGGAAAAAGGGAAGAAGGAAAAAAGTCATTTGAGAGAGGGTAGAATTCGCACAATATACACCGCAAGAGTAAGGCTCAGTCTGTGAGCAGACAGGTCCACTGTCCCCCTGAATCGTCACCTGGCAAGCCCTGGCTCTACTCTCCAAGGCTCCGGAAACACCCATCCCATCCCGTGGCGGGTCCAAGCGCCTGCAGGCCCCGGCACCGCAGACTTATACGTCTCAGTCCTTCTTGGCATAGTTGCCCTGAATGCACCTCGCCATCTCCACAGATGAACCTCTGCCAACAACTGGTCAGACAGGTCCTGGGCCCAGCGCTGCTCAGACAGGTATCGGGGATGCTTTGGACGGGGCACGCCAGTCCTGGACCCTTTCGCTCAGCCCTCTGAGCCCCGGGCTTTGGGGACGCTTGAGCTCCATGCGGAGCTCAGGCACTGAAGGTCCGAGAGGCAGCTGGGGTCACAGCTACCCAGCAACCCTGAGCGCCGCCCGCACCAGGGCGCTTTTGCATAAAGTTGCCCAGGTGAATCAATGCGTAGATGCAAATCAATGAAGAAATAAAGAAAGGGAGAGAGCTAGACAGCCCGAGTTCCTGGGTGCTCACAGCTCACGCGCTCGGAGCGGAGCCCCTGTTGGCAACTCGGCGTTTAACGCCCAGGTCCTGTACAATCCAGGCTCGCGCGCTCTGTCCGGACGAAATGCCAGAAATAATTATTGTAGACAACAACCGCAACACCTATTTTCTCTGCCCTCGCCGTTTCCTTCATCTGCTGTCGGACTTTGAAATCCTTCTGGATAGCCCTGCGCTCCCCGGCGCCCGAGCATCTTCCTCACCTGGTGCTTGAATGCGGGCACTCTCTGCTCCGGAACTGCACGCTGGGAGCGCGCGAGACTTGCAGGCGGGGAAGGGGACGCCCGCGGCCGGCAAGGGGGCGCTGTCCCCTAGAGGCTTCTGATCCTGCCGACCATCGTCCCGTCCTGGAGAGGCAGTGCGGTTAGAAAGGGTAGAGTCCTTCCAGGGGGGCTGCCGCGCAAATACACCTGCGGGGATCCCGTCTCTCTCTCCACAACTAGGGCCACCCCGGCCGTAGCTCCCCGAGGTTCCCGGAGCATTCCGGTCTGGGGATTTTAGTTGAGGGATTTCTGGTAGAGGAGTTCAACAGGGGCAACGGCCTAGGCTTCCCCAAATAGGGAAGTCCACCTAGACCGCGGACACATTTACTACGCAAATCACCCCCTTCCTTCCCGGTCCCCGGTGCCAGCCAGCTCCGCCCGCTCCACCCCGGCTTCCAAGATGCTCTCTCCGCTCCGGCACCCACTGTCCAGCCAGGGCTGTTCCCCGTCCTTTGCTGTTCATCTTGGGACCGCGAGAGCGAAGGGGTGGAGAGCTCGAGCCTAGGGTGCTGCCTCTGGGTCCTGGCTGGAGGAGGGAGGAAAAGTAGGCATCTATTCTACGTGTAAAGCCCGGGGCGCTGTAGGTTGAACGTGGGACTTGAGAAGTTGCATTTTTCCATCCGCTTACCAGGTCTTAGCCCTGGCGCCGCTTCCGGACGGTATGTTGCCCGCAGAGGCACCCGTGAACTCAGTCACTGCACGCAAGGACCCTGAAGTCCAGGCTGAGAATTTACCGGCTGCATGTGAAGTTATATTAACATCAACCGTCATGTATGCATGGAGTTTGAGCTTTCACACACATCCCTGTGAGGTCAGTCTTATCCTCCTCATTTTCGACTGGGAGAAGAGCCCTGAGTCATGCATTAGGTAACCCAGCACTGAAGACCGGTCCTGCCTCCAGACCCAATCCCACGGGCTGTCAGGGTCACCTCTGCGGAGCCCTGCACCGGGATGGCTGCTCAGTAAATACTCTGTGGATCGGATTCCAGGATCGGATTCCTCACGACTTCCCTGTTTTATATAGTAGCGTATGTCTAAGCCCTATCTGCTCACTCATTTATTCATCCACTTATTCGGCCTTTCCTGACCACCTACTGTGTGCTGGTGCTCGTGAGGAATAGCCCTATTCACATGATGAAGCGGATGAGGAGCTGTCCTCTGAGCGGGGCTTTAGGTACCCCACAGAGGGCCCTGCGCTTCCAGCCCGCAAGCCTTCCCGTGGAGCGCAGGCCCAATCTGGTCTAGGGTGAGGGGGGTGGTGTCAGGAGGAGGGGAACTCGGGAGCCCGCGTGTGCCAAAGCCTAGGATAGTCAGACGGCAGGGGTGGAGGGACAGAAGGACTCTGCTCTGAGAAGCAGGACTGGTGGTGGGCAAAGAACAGAGAAGAGAGGAAAAGGGAATTTCGCGAGAGAGAGGCTGGAGGCGAGGGAACTGGAGGCTGGGACGCCAGGGACCAGGGTGGGGTGGGGGTAAAGGCGTAAAAAGAGAGGCGTCAGAGGCCAGGGTGAATGAGAGAACTGAGGCCGCAGGCGCGCTCTCTGAGGAGCCAGGGAGCTGCTGAGCGTCGAGGGGACCCTCCAGCGGGTGCCACGGAGAACCCGAAACGGGATCCGGCCCCGCCTGCAGTCTCTTTGCCTGCCCAAGTTGGCTGGGGGTGGGGGGCGAGACTGTCGCCGCCCAGGTCATTTACCAAAGCACAGCTGTGTTCTGTCAAGAAGAGTTCACAGGCCGGGTGTCATGGCCAAAAGTCACTCGTGCCCGGCCATTCCCAGAGAAACCTGTTTGGCTTCTATTCTCCGTAGGTTTCCACGCACGGGAGGAGCTGGCGGAACCTGGCCCCGGGAGGCCACAGCCAGTCGGGACGAGGGGCTGGAGTCCGGCTCCCGCTCCCGGGCCCCCGCGATCACAGGCGGCTCCCGCCTCCCGGCCGGAGGCACCTGCGCTGGGAGCTGGCGGGCTGAGGGGCGCCCCCGGGGCTTCGGGGCACTGATCCCCGGGAACCACCTGGGAGGCGGAGGGGCGGGCCGGGGGCGGGCGCACCCTGGGGAAGCGGCCCGCCTCCCGCCTCTCCTCCCCGCAGGTCGGAGCCGGGACGCGGCGGCCCGGGACGCTGGCTGGGAGGGGGCCCGCGCCGTGAAGAAGGGAGGGGCCGCGCCGCCTTCGAGAGTCATTGGAGGACGCGGCCTCTCGAAGCTGATAAATAAGGGGCCGGGCCGCGGCTGCCGGCCAAGTTGGACGCCGCAACCGGTGCGAGGGCCAGGTCAGAGCCGGCCCGACGACGCGAAGCGAGGCGACCCCCGTGCGGCCATGGCCTCGCTGCTAGGAACTTACCCGTGGCCCGAGGGTCTCGAGTGCCCGGCCCTGGAAGCCGAGCTGTCGGACGGGCTGTCGCCGCCGGCCGCCCCCCGCCCGCCGGGGGACAAGGGCTCGGAGAGCCGTATCCGGCGGCCCATGAACGCCTTCATGGTGTGGGCCAAGGACGAGAGGAAACGTCTGGCGGTGCAGAACCCGGACCTGCACAACGCCGAGCTCAGCAAGATGCTGGGTGAGTGAGCGGGCGGGGCGCGGCCCGAAGTCGGCGGGCGGGGGTCTGGGGGCTGGAGGCTGGGCGGGTGCAGTGAGGGCGCGCGGGGCAGGGGTGGGACAGACTCGGCGTGGGGGACGCACGGGGGCGCGCACCGTGCCCGCGAGATTGGCCATCTGGGCGAGGGTGGTTGTGCGCGCGGGGACTGGGATTCCGGGCAGGGACGCGAGGATCAGGCCCAGAGTGAACCGGCACGGCCCGCCGGGGTGGCCGGGGAGGCCCATTGGAAGGGACGGGAGCCGAGTTAGGGGCCCTGGGGCACGGGCGGGTCTGAGCTGCGGCCTGGTGCGGGCAACTCGGCTTCGGAGATCCTCGCGTGCACGGACAGGTCGGGTGTAAGGCAACAGGAAAACCCATCATCCGCTGAACTTCACCACGGGCACAATCACAGAAGGAGGTCGTACCTCTCATTAACGAATATTCGTGAAGAGAGACCTTGCGGTGGCCTATTCCTGTTTTAACTTAATTATCAAACCAACAGCAAAATGGACTTGATTCGAGCCTCTTTCTCAGTCGCAGGAGTGTAGAAAATTTGATTCGGATGCTTGGGACGGCCTGTGCGGGTATGTCCCAGAACCCAGCCAATTCCCCGGGGCTGCCCTGCAGTCCCATCCCTGGACGCTGGGCTGGGGACAAGTCAGGCCAATAGAGAAAGGATGTTCTGGAGGTCGGGGGTTTCTTGTCTTTCCACTGTCAGAAGCTGGGCACTATATCAGCTCCAGCCAACGCCTAACCTCTTTGCCCTTCGTGGTAGTTTTTATTCATTTTGACGGATGGGAACCTTTCAAAGCACGTTGTGTGCCCAGGAGGCGCCAGGCCCTGTGAAAAAGGACAGTGTGTGGCCATCCGAGGCTGGCCCTGCCCCCAGCAACCCCACCCGGACCAGCTTGGAGCCTTTTCTTTTTCCTTTTTCCGCTGGAGCTTGGGGCTCCTTCCCCAGATCGGTGGAATGAGGCCTGACACCCCTCTTTGTGCTGTCTAAAGCCACAGGCCCTCTGGCAGAAAGGGTCCTCTTGCAGTTTGAGTGCCCTTTCAAAGCGGCTGATAGAGTGCTGGTTTCAAAGAGCCTCCCACCCTCTGCCCAGCCCCCTGGCTAGCTGTTCCCAGGACGAGTTAGTGGACCAGTGTGTCTCAGCGAGCCCTGTCCCAGATAAAAAATAACTTAAAATCATACTTTATGCTGTGTTGGCATAGAGACAAATATATTAAGATATACAATAACAAAACAGTTTCTTCAAGCAGAAAGTTTATATTTTTCTTGAGATTTCTAAAGCAATGAAAATACTTTTTTTTGGTGAGCTCCTAAATGTATTTTTTTGGTGTGACCCAGGTGCTACGCCTGTTGCCCAAGCAGAGCTCTTGTGAGGAGGATAGAGCAGGCCCAGCCAAGGGTGGGAGAACTCAGGTTAGAGAGCCTTGCAGGATTGGGGCTGCCTGCTCCCAGGGAAAGGACAGGCAAAGGGACCTGGGTAACAAATGCCTCCTGTAAGCTGGTTCCTATTGGCAGTCGGCACTTAGGCGTCTAGAGATCACAGTGCATTTTGCAGGAAAGATATGGATTCCTTCCTGCTTAACCACACAGCCCCTGGCACTAGGCAAAGGAAACTGACCTAGTGTTGCTTTGAAAAATGTGGATTTTCTACACCTGCTGAAGGGGAGGGGGCAGCAGGATGATCTATTTCCATCCCAAGCCCATGATCTTGCCCAGCCCTTTCCTTTCTGACTTAGGAAAGGGAAAAGGCTGAATGCGAGAGCCCAGATTTTTTGACTATTAGCTCTCCAGTCTTTGACTCTAAAAACATCACACAGTAGTACTCATGTATGTTATGAATGAGAAAGCAGGTAAAGACAGTTATACATTTAGTGGTTTTAAAAATGAACCTATATTTTATGAATACTACAATATCTCGGTACACTCAGAAACTTTGAGTCACATTTTATATTCAGTCCACAGTCAGGGTGTGGGTGTGTCTGGGTCTTGGGCCTCTTGCCATAACTTGTGGCCTTAACCACAGGCTGGAAACTAATGGCCAACTCCAAATCTGGAGTTCCTGACAGTGCTCGCTTTGGCGGCACATATACTAAAATTGGAGTTCCTGACACTTTTAAAGTTCTCTTTTCAAGTGAGAGCTAATTGTATTAATTGACAACGTCACTGGAATAGTGTTATATCCTTTCATCCAAACGGTACTGGATGATCACCTTCCTCCAGCCTCCTCTGTGTGCCTGACACCCAGGGCCAGCCGGCACCCCCATGAAGGGCAGCCACGCACAGAGCTCTGGACTTGGCCCTGTGCCGAGTGCTCTGGGTGGGAGATGCGGCCCCTTTCCTTCCAAGGTTTGGGGCAGGGGCCTGCCCTCTGGGCTAGTTTGTCTCAGACTTCAGGGTACAGTAGAGTCATAGGGGAACTTAAGTTCCCAAGCCTACCCTAGGAGGTAACCATCTAAGGTGTCCAGAAGTGACCTTTAGAAAACCTGCAGCAGGATGGGCAATGTGCTTTCAGAAAGAAAGAGACACTAAAGTAATCTATGCAATAACACACAAGTGAGAAGGATGAACAGAAAATACACATGAGAGCAGCATTTGTGCACCAGTGGGACACAATTGTGGGATGCTTCTTCAGACGAGAGTTTTGGTTTACTGCGGGGAAAACAAAGATCCAGGGAAGGTAAGGGGTTTACTTCTGTATAGAGAGTCAGTGGCTGATAAGGTGCCCTCTGCCATGGTCACAGTAGACAGTTAGAAGCCATAGCTTGTGTGTGTGTGTGTGTGTGTGTGTGTGTGTGTGGCATGAAGGTTTTTGTTTGACCTTCAAATGTAAGGGCTAATCCTCTGTTGCCATAAGTGAGACCCTGTAGTTTACATCTTATAATTTACCTCCGTCTGTGAAGCTGCTGACTGATCCTGAGTTCCCTCACAGGAAAACCTGTGATAGACGTATGCCACAAATAAATAATAGAGTGTCACTTCCTGAAGGGCAGCGATAACCCAGGAAGGCAGAGTTTTCATTAGGATGCACAAATGATAAGAACTGACCCTCTGAGGGTAAAGGGAGCCCAAATCAATGTTGTGGTCTACATATTTTTGTCCTGTGGGTGACATTCGGTTAGGTGGACCCTTCACTGAGAATCTCACACTGTTTACACATTCGTGTTGTCTGGTGGCTTTGATAGGAGAGGTGCCATGATTGTGTTTGTGTGTGTGTCTTTTGCATGAATGCCTTGGAGCATGCAAGTGGGAGAGGTTGGTTGACCTTACTGCGCGTGCAGGATGTGGGCTGAGAAGAGGGTTCGAGGAGTGTGGGGCGCCTTGTGTGAAGAGGGGGCACTGGGGTGGGGGGAGGGACAGGGGACCCGAGGCAGCAAGCGTGTGCAATGCTCCGCAGCCCCAGAGACAGGTGCACGGAGGCGCCCCAGCCGCCGCGCAGAGACTGACGGCGGCCTTGTCTGACTTGTGTGAGCAGGAAAGTCGTGGAAGGCGCTGACGCTGTCCCAGAAGAGGCCCTACGTGGACGAGGCGGAGCGGCTGCGACTCCAGCACATGCAGGACTACCCCAACTACAAGTACCGGCCGCGCAGGAAGAAGCAGGCCAAGCGCCTGTGCAAGCGCGTGGACCCAGGCTTCCTGCTCAGCTCGCTCTCCCGCGACCAGAACTCCCTGCCCGAGAAGCGGGGCGGAGGCCGAGGGGCGCCGGGGGAGAAGGAGGACCGGGGTGAGTACTCCCCAGGCTCCGCGCTGCCCGGCCTGCGGGGCTGCTTCCACGACGGCCCAGCCGGCGGCAGCGGCGGCGGCAGCGGCGGCACCCCGGGCAGCGTGGACGCGTACCCCTACGGGTTGCCCACCCCGCCGGAGATGTCACCCTTGGACGTGCTGGAACCGGAGCAGACCTTCTTCTCCTCACCATGCCAGGAGGACCATGCGCACTCCCGCCGCATCGCCCACCTGCCCGGGCCCCCCTACTCCCCGGAGTACGCCCCCAACCCCCTCCACTGCGGCCACCCCCTGGGCTCCCTGGCCCTCGGTCAGTCCTCGGGCGTCTCCATGATGTCCACCGTGCCTGGCTGTCCCGCGTCTCCGGCCTATTACTCCCAGGCCGCCTACCCGCCTCTCCACTCCAACCTGCACGCCCACCTGGGCCAGCTCTCCCCGCCTCCCGAGCATCCCGGCTTCGACGCCCTGGATCAGCTGAGCCAGGTGGAACTCCTGGGGGACATGGATCGCAATGAATTCGACCAGTACTTGAACACTCCCGGCCACCCAGACTCCGCCGCCGGGGCCCTCAGTGGGCAGGGCGCGGTCTCTGAGGTGACATCGACGGGGCCCACAGAGACCAGCCTCATTTCCGTGCTGGCTGACGCCACGGCCACGTACTACAACAGCTACAGCGTGTCATAGAGCCCGGCGGCCTGTCCGGCCCGGCCTCGCCGCCGCCGGGCCCTCCCGCGCCGCGCGCGTGCGCGCGCTTCCCCCCACCCCCACTCCCCCTCCCCCCCCCCCCGCCCCCGCCGACCGGCTCTGCGGGTCCGGGGCCCCTCCCCCCGCCCCTGCCCCTCCGCCCCGCCCGCCTGCTGCCGGCGTTCTGAGTGTATTCCTTCAAAGGAGTTTCCACTGGCTCCGCCCTGGGAATCAGGCGCGGTGGTTGCTGAGGACGCTATTTCCCGGTAGAGTATTCACTGACCTCTCCTCCCAGACTTCAATCCGGAAACAAATTTGGGAAAAGCCCAGCAACATTCGCATCCCTGCCGCTTCTGACACAGCCGCAGGGGTCCTGCTGTCCTGACCTTTGTTTGGTCTTCCAGGTGAGGGGAGCCCTGGGCTAAGATTCGGGGCACTGGCGGTCCAATCCCAGTTCTGCCTCCGGGGGCTGGGGAGACCTGACTCCCCTCGCCTCCCCTTCCAGCCCACACCCCACCCCCCATCTGCGGAGTGAGGGACAGACTCCGTATCTTAGGTACCCTCCTCTCCAGGGTTTTCTGATTTAGGATTCTCTCCAAAGGAAGCTGAAGCTGGCCTCAGTGAACTCATTCACGAGCAACCTGGTGAGGATTCCGTGCACTGCCCAAGGACGCCAGGCTGCTGCCCTTGGTCACCATCTTCCAATATGAATGATCCTAGTCTTCCAAAAGGACCCTTTATGAGTTTGAGAAAAAACACTCATCGTGATTTGGGGAATTAACGCCGGGGGTTAACTGCATCACTGACAATGAAATTGAATTCAAGCTGCTTTTTTTAAAACATACTTTTTTTTTTTTTAAGATAAGTTCTTTGATAGCTCAGTTGGTAAAGAATCTGCCTGCAATGCAGGAGACCCTGGTTTGATTCCTGGGTCAGGAAGATCTGCTGGAGAAGGGATAGGCTACCCACTCCAGTGTTTGGGGGCTTCCCTTGTGGCTCAGTTGGTAAAGAATCCACCTGCAATGTGGGAGACCTGGGTTCGATCCCTGGGTGGGGAAGATCCCCTGGAGAAGGGAAAGGCCACCCACTCCAGTTTCTGGCCTGGAGAATTCCATGGACTGTATAATCCATGGGGTTGCAAAGAGTCAGACAGGACTGAGTGACTTTCACTTTCTTTTCACTTTCATACATTCAAAACAAAATACAAGCCTGAATATTTACAGTGTGTATGAGACACACACAACATATACACCTTCATGCTCAGCCTGAATCAGATACAGTTTGCTGACCTTGGCAACTTCTTGTCAGACTTCCGTTCCTAATGACCCAAAGAGCAGGGAGTTGGAAAGAGTTTCAGCACTGTGGCATCAGTTTCTTCCAATCTGATTGTGCTGATTTCTTGAGAAAAATTTCACCATGCTCTCCCTCCTCCAGATGCAAAATGATCTTCCTTTCCTGAAATTTCTTTTTTCTCTTCTTTTCTGTTCTTTCTCCACCCCTGAATTGGCTACTGATTCAAAGATCCCTTGACTTAAAAATCCCAGGCATGATTCCTATGGCAGAAATGGGAATTTGTTCTCCTCACCAGCCCTCTGGTTCTTCAGGTAACATCTTCAGCCAACACATCAAAGCAACTTCCCTTTATTATACTTACTTCCCAAAGAATAGAAATGCACTGTGATTCAGAAAATATTTCTGAGCCCTGACCCCATCCCAAAAACATTTCTATCCTTCCTCCAAGTCTCCATTGAAGGAACATACCTATCAGACATAAAAGACAGTTGTCTTATGATTTCAGCATTTTATTGCCTGTATGAAATATGTAAGTGTTTTTATATATTCTCCAATTATTTTCACCTTATATTTTGTATTGTTGAAAGATCCTTTTTTTTTTTTGCTTCCAAGGAATTCTCTTATAAAATCACTTATAAGATATGATTAATCTTTATGCTATTACTGTATGTGACTTTTGGTAATAAATAGTAAACCATGGACAATATGATTGGTGCAGTCCAGAATGTGTATTAATAATCTTATAAAACAGTATCACAGACATTAAGCTAAACTGTTCCATTTTCTGTAGGAACTATATATGCTTTAGAATGGTTGTAGATATTGGTTTGCCTAAAATATTTAATTTAAATAAACATTTTTGTACCACGATCATTCTATCATTTGAAATACAGTTTGGTGAAAGAAAAAGCTTTCAAGTGAGGCGTAGATATTTATGCCAGTTCTTCTGGTGGTGGTCAAAATGTTCTCTTCATCATCTTTTTTATTTTAAAAAAGTTATCTTGTTGGAGTGGTTGGTTGATTTTATGAATTATGGTAAAGAGATAAAGCCTAATTTTACACCTTAGAAACAGTGTCATTCTTCTTGATATTGAAAGAAAAGACAAATTCATAGCCTAGTTGCAAAACAATTTTCTCCTCGGAAAGGATGACTTCACACTTGTAAGGTGGAATGCAGTGGTTCTCAGACTGTCTCAGGATGGGAAGTGGCCCAAGTATTTGCTTCCTTAAGGGGAAACTCCATTTTCCCCTTTTTGAAATCATCTTTTGAAGACTATTTAGATTGTCCTCTCTCCTATGCATCTAGGGATGTGGTCTTACAAGAATCATGTGTTCTCAAAGCTCCCTGGAATGTTGCAGAGAAGACAGGGCAGCACAAGGGTGGGTAATTAAAGGATGTAATATCTTGTTAGGGTTTAGGATGAAAATCCCAGCCAAACAGTGTCCGGAAAAAAGTGATGATTCCTCAGTCCCCAGGCTATTCGCTACATCTGGCTCCTCTCTGTGGGAAAGCCGTTGTAACTTGTTCATGTCAATAGAAGCCCTGTGTTCTTCCAGGGCCTCTGGGCCAAGGAGTAGGTCTTGGGAGGGTCTGATTGGGCAGACGTTCTTTCTGCAAATTGGATCGTAATCTCTCATCATTACTTTAATAGCACTTTATAGATGTAGGGAGTTTTACAGCAAATTTTATGGTCTGTTTCTCATTCCCAGCCCCAGATGGGGCCCGTCATCACTCCACCCCATTGTGCAGTCAGGAACACTGAGGCCCAGGGAGGGAGGTGGCACCCTGGGGTCACCCTACTCAACTGGTGGGGGCTGGGTTTTCAGCACTTCAAATACATTTGCTGGCATTGACAGTCTCCCAGGTTCGAAGGCTCATGCCTTTTCTAGAGACTCACCAGACATGGGGTTACATCTGGCCCATTTTTACTTCTCACGTCCCAGGGAAAAAGGATGAACAAAGGGGAAATGACAAGGCTAGCATTAGATGACACCCGAATTCCTTGCTGCCTAGGCCCGCCACCATGGCCAGCTGACAGTGAACGCCTGCAGTGTCATCCGCTGGCAGGAGAGCTTGTCCTGCAACGTCCACTGGTCATATCTGGGTGTCAGCGTCAGCGTCCTGCCCTGGACGGTGCCAGAGGGGCGTGTTTCACTCCGGCCGCACTGTGGGGGTGAGGGTGGTGTCCCCCGCCTTCGGGAGGGCAGGAAACTGGCCGGCGACAGGGTGCTTTCTCACTTTTGCTCAGCTGTGAGTGAAACGGTCATGCCCGGAAGCCAGGGGTATTTTAGAGGTTTAGCCGCCCCTCCCAGGTACCCAGCTCTCCTGCCTGCCCCTCCCAGGACACGCGTACTTCTGGCTTTGGCTGATGAGAATTGATGCATGTGCACCGTTTTATGGGCTGTTTTCCTAAAACATGAACATTACCACGTCACACTTCCTTAAGACACTTCGGTGCCTGTGCGTCGCCCATGGCACACAGGGTGAGTGCAGAGGTGGGTCCCCAGGGGCCCCGTGAGGTTCATGGGTCCGGGGAGGGGCCCTGGTACTGTGTTCACATGGCCAGCCCCCACCCCCTGCCCCTTCCCCACAGTGTACCCACGGCACGGAAAGCCTATTGTTCTCTGAAAATGCTTTCTTTCCCCAGGCTTTTGTGTGTGTCCCAGCACTATTCCATGACCAGGGAGACCCTCACTCTCACGGCCTGTCTGATGACATCTGACCCACTGTCCAAATCCAGCTCCAACACTCCCATTTATGCTGGCTCGGGGGTTGGGGGGAGGGGGTCACTCTCCTCTCTGAGCTCCAACAGGACTTGATGGGATCTAGCACTTACAGCTGGTGTTGGTGTCATCCATTTGTGTGAGTCTTCCCCAGCAGGGCAGATAGTAGCTGCTCAACAAGTAAGTGGGTGAATAAATGAATAAGGTAAACATCTGAGAAGTCCTGTAGGTGTTGCAGTGAGCCCTGGTGCTAAAGACCTGAAATCTTCTGGGTCCCTAATCTCCTCACTCATCTCTCTGGAAGCCCAGACCCTGGAGCCCTTGTGTGTGCAGTTCTCAGGGCTCTGAGACAGAATCTGATGCAGCCGTGGTCAGATACCCTCTCCTGTTACAGGAGTAAAAGTCAGGAGGTGGGCACAGGGGACCCAGGCATCTCCTCTCCCGTCTCATCCTAGAGTACCAGAATACAGCTGAGGGCAGATGATTTGTAGCATTTGGAACTTCCTACTTTTCTTTTGGAAAGCCTGTGCTGTTGATATCATCCTAGTGAAAGGGATTTGAACAGAAAGAAGGAAGGAAGGGAATGAAATATTTATCTGTGTATCATCTATCCATCTGTTGAACCCATCCACCCACTTCACTTACCCACTGATCATCTTTCTACCCATTCATCCACCACTTAGCCATTTATTATCTATCTAGCTATCATCTACTGATACTTTAATTTTCAGAAGAAACGTAGTCTTTGTAGAAAGTTTAGGGAAAAATAACATCATAGGGAAAAAATTAAGTCATCTATGGTCAACAACTTAGCAACATTACTGGTGATTTTTTTATACACATCAGTGCATTTTGTTTGTTCACTCATGCCAGTCCTATTTTGTTTGTCTAGCTCTGCAGAGACACATGTGCTTTATGATAGGCATTTTATTCGTTAATATTAAATAGTTATTTTCTTATGTCCTTAAACTTTATTTTTCTGCTAAGAGTGTTGAAAAGGGCAGTGGAAAAACCAACATGAAAAAAATATTAGAAAAAAAAATTACTCCATGACCTTGACATAACTGGTTCATTTTTGTATACTCAACTCCCCAGTCTTGTATTCATGCGTTCAAGATGTAGATACCATTGGTATTTGGTTTTATCATTTCAACATCCTATTATAGAAATTGTGCCACATTGATAGCTGTCTGCATGTTTATCACTATTGATGATGACACAGTACTTCAGTGCATGACTGTGGCTTAGTTTTACTTGGTACTAAATAACTAAGTTGTTCCATTTTCATTTTTTGCCATTATAAATAGCACAGCAGTGAACATTTACTTGTTTCTGCCTTTGGCTGGATTCACAGTCAGGTATCGCAGGTCTAAGCTATGAGTAAGTTTACAGCTTTTCATCGAGGCACAAAATGACTCCATGCAATCAATCCCCAGAATGAACTCTTTGCTACCAGGAAGAAGGAAGGCTCCTGAAGACAGTTTACACCTGGTTCCAATCTGCCCATGCTCAGTGGCCTTCCCCTGTCACTGCAGCTCGTCTTCCTAAGGACCAGTTATGAGCTTGCCACCGGCTTTACTGACACACGGGAGGTGTTCCATTCCTCAGTCACCACAGTAGACAGCACACCCTTCCTGAAGCCTCAGTTTACTCTGCAGAAGAAAGGCTTCCTCTGCCAGTCAGTGTGGGAACTGAACTGGTCCTCAGGGGCCCCCAGGGCACAGGGCAGCTGGCTGCACTCCCAGGGCACTCAGAGCTCCGGGGAGCAGGAGAGGGTCTGGGAAGACCTGGGAACCAAGGCAGGAGTGACCTCCCCGCATCCCTGGATTTTGATTGGAACTTGGGCTAATGTCTGGACCTGTTCTCTCATCCAGGACAGATAGTGAATTTCTGGGCTCGTGAGAAATTCTAAGGCTTTATACACATGTACAGAATAGCTGTTGTCTCCTTCAGATCTCTTTAAACAAATTTTATTTCTTTTAGACCTGGAGGCTGGTACTAGTTGAAAGAGCCTGGAGCTACATGTTAGTCAGTTTATCACACTGAGACCGATTGTGCAATAGACCTCAGGATGTGGGAGAGGGGCTTGTAGAGAGGAACCCTCCGTTTCCTTGTCTGGCCCCGAGCTGGGATTGACAGAGACAGTCTGGGTCACTCAGTTCACTCCCCTGTCTCTACTGTGGACTGAGTCTTAGCCATTCTTCTTCAGATGGGTTTCTAATTGATTTGAGTCCTCTACAGAAAGGGGTTTTTCTCTCTTAAGAGAGTCTAATGAGTTCCATCATCAAAAAGTTCTTTCTCAGGACTTCCTCGGCGATCCAGGAAGATCCTTGACTTGTTAAGACTTTGAGCTTCCACTCCAGGAGGTGCGGATTTGATCTCTGGACAGGGAACAAGATCCCGTATGCTGCACAGTGCGGCCAAAAAGTTTTTAAAAAGTTCTATTTTGTACCTTCTTGTACCTCACCTAAATCCCACCTGCTCAGTTTAAATCCATGTACACTTGATGTCATCTGCAGAAATTAACGGGACTTGTCCCCAAGTGGTCCTCCCCCTGGAGGCTGGTGGTCATGCTCTTCCCCTCTTCATCATGGGACCATGTAGAGGCCCTGATGCAGCCTGGATTTCCTCCAGATCCTCTCAGGCCTGCCTTCGCTTGAACTGGAGGGACATGGGATTAGGGTGGGGGTGACAAGGAAGGTCCCCCTGTTATACAAACCATGAGTGAGGAAGGCGGGGGATCACCCAAGACTGGGAGAGGACTCTATGGGCACTTCTGGGATGTTCTACGTGTAGGCATGGGGTGTAGCCATCTCTCAGAGGGTCACATCTGGGCCAGAATGTGAGTCCCCTAGCTCTGCTCACTGTCCTTTCACTGGTCACTCACCTTCCATCCATCCAAGGGGCCTTGGGGAGGCACAGTTTTGGGACAAATTGGGGAAGCTTAAAACATGGAATGTAAGCCCCTGGATTCTGGAAAAATCAGTGGATTCTGATGAGTGAAATATCTTTGCAGCAGGGGCCTCAGGGCCATTGTGTCTTGGAGGTTCTGTTGATGAGACCTGAGAGATGTGGTCAGCTTCCACAGGCGGGGGTCCTCCCACGAGGACGGGTGCCCCAGGGTGTCCACGTGCTCCACAAGCATGCTGGCTTGTCCTTGTCACATCAGAGAACCCAAGAGAGCTGTGTAGCTCCTCCGCTCAAATTTTGACAAGCCTTATGACTTCCTTTTTCTTTATCCCCTTTCCTGAAAAGTAGAAGCACCAGCCGCCCCATTCAGGGTGCTGTGAAGCTTCAGGAAAGCATGTGTAATGTCCTTAAGATCTGCAAGACAGGGTATAATAAGGTTTGTTCCAATGAGGACCATCAATCGAATGAGGTGTCCTCATGTAAACAAAGCAGTTACATTTTTACTGGAAAGAATTCTCATCCTAGCTCTGTGACCTTGAAAAAAATGAGAGGTCAGAGCTAGAAGGAATTTTTTTTTTTGCTTTATTTATTTTTTATTTATTTACTTTTGACTCACTGGGTCTATGCTGCTGCACACAGGCTTTCTCTAGTTGCAGGGTGTGGGGACTATTTTCTCACGGTGCGCAGGCTTCTCACTGTGGTGGCTTCTCCTGTTGTAGAACACAGGCTCCTTGGCACGTGGGATCTTCCTAGGCCAGGAATTGAACCTGTGTTCCCGGCACTGGCAGGCAGATTCTTATCCACTGGACCACCAGGGAACCCCAGGAACTGTTATCGTGCTGTCAGTGCCCGGATTTGATGAAAAAGGAACTGGGGGCCAGGAGAGGTCAAGGGATTCACTTGAGAGGGAGCAGCTTGGAGCAGAAACGGGTGAAGGGCCTTGAGTGCAGAGCTGTGCAGGGGAGGGGCCAGGAGGGGCCCCGCCCCTCAGGACCCAGCGTGGTCAGTCATCCTCAGCGGTGCTGGCCCAGGAGGCTGGCTGGGACAGGGCTGGGGGAGAACGCCACCTCCGTGGCCTCTCTGCTGGATTAGGGGGGTCTCAGCCTTGAGCGGGGGTGGGGGTGGGGGGCTGGCTAGTGGCACAGCAAAGATACAGGTGATGGGACAAAGTGTTCCTCGGAATGCAGACGGTAGGGGATGCAGGAGCCTGTGAGTGGGCATGACCAGGAGACTTCCCCAGAAGGTTCTTCCTGGATTCCTGCAGCCTCCGGGTGCTGACGCAGGAGAGGGAGGCTGGGGATGAGTGTCCTGGGAAGGGAGAACCTCAGTGTGCTCTGGTGGGAGATGGGCACCTGGCTCTCGGCTCCCCGGCCCTTCTGGGAATGGCGGAGGGGGGCACAGAAGGACCCGGACGTCTCTGGGAGCCTGGGCCCCTTTGTAGTGTTTCTGCCACCCCCGCCTGCCCCCTCTGTGACCAGGCTGCCGGCGCCCAAAAAAAGTAGTAGGTGGTTCAGGGTTGGCAGAGGGGCTGAGAAGCCGGGGCAGAACCCTGAAGTGGCCATCACAGCCCAGCACGGTCTGCCTCCCTGGAGGCTGGGGGACGGAGAGGAGGACGAAGGCCTGCAGGAGGGGCCCGGAGAGGGCGGAGGAGCAGCCTGGTGCCGAGTGTTTTCCTGCCCCTGGGAGCTGCTGTGACCAGGAGGAGGAGGATGTGGCCTGAGCCCAGTGTTTCCTGCCTGATAAGCCGGCCCCTCCCTGGGAGCCACGGCCAGGCCACCTTCGCGCCCAGAGCCCTGCCCAGGGAGGGGCCGGCCGAGGAGGAAAATCACTTCTCCAGATTAGCTAGCCCAGGCCAAGCCTTCCTCCCCCGCCCCGTCCTGAAGCAGCCACAGGAAACGGGGCTGGGGCCAGCACGCCCAGAGGTCCCCACCTTCAGAGCACTCAGGGACTCCGGCCTGTCTTGGGGCCTCAGAGGCCACGTCCCCCGAGAGCGGACGCCTTCCTGCTCCAAAGTCAATCCTCTCCAAGGAGGGCAGGGACTGCAAATCTTTTTATGTGTTTGCCAGATCTCATGCCTGGGGTTCAGGCTGCAAAGCTGGTCCATTTCTTGTCAGTCCGCGCACCGGCCCCCTCCCACCTGGCCGCCATCCGAGGGCAGAGGGTGGACAGTGGTGGGCTTGGCAGGCCCGACGCCAGGCTGGCGCAGAGGGAGGGGCCAGGGCTGCCTGGGGCCCCAGCTGCTGCCCTGCTCTGCCCTAATGGGCCGTGTGGCTGGAGTGAGGTCCCGACCCTTTCTGAGCCCTGCTCCCTTCTAACTGGAAAGGTGGGGAGCGGCAGCCACACAGGAGCAGAGGGTCTCCCTCCCGGGCCTTGGGGAGCCGCATGGGCAGTGACCATCCCCCGAGCAGGGCTGGCTAGAGCAGCCCACCCCCACTGAGGGAGGGAAGGAGTGCCTGGAGGGGCAGCGCCTGCTCATTAATGTCACCTTGAGCTGACTTGCCCCTGCTCTGCTTTTCTCTCCTGTAGAGAACATCCTCTCCGGTCTCGTTCCCGCCATCCCGTCCCTGGGCCCGGTCTCCTTCCTGGGAGTCAGGATACTTGGGACTCCAGGTTGGGGGCAAGGATTATGCCTAGGACCCCAAGGCAGGCAAGAGGGGGCTTCTCAGAGACACCAGTCCTGGAGAGGGTAGGGGGCTGCTCAGACACACAGCCATCAATGGGGACCCCACCAGGACTGCAGGCTACTGACATCCAGGCATGCCCCCCGCCAACCCAGCAGCTGGCCCTATCACAGGCCCCCTGCTCTGGGCACTCTGCCCCCAAACTGGGGTGCACCTCCTCCCTCAAGCCCAGACCTGCTCCCCAGGCCCCTGATAAAGACACCCCCTTCACCCTCAGCAGGAAGCCAGTTCTTGGTCATTAAAGTGTGCAGAGGGAGAATTTAATGCCCAGCACAGGTGAACATGTGCTTGCCTTGCAGAAGACGTGCATAGGTATTGGTGGACACCCTAGTGGGCACGTGCATGAGGAGACGTGGGCAGCACTCTGCTCTTCACACTTGGGGGCACTGTCTACAAAGTGCTTCTGCCATATGGTGTCTCCTGTGACCATGGCAGCCATCCCAATGCAGATATGATTATACCCTTTCACAGGTGGAGCTGATGTTCAGGTGAGGCAAATCAGGACTGAGTCAGGTCCCGTCGCTTAGAGACAGGGATCCCGCCGATGGAGCAGGAGACAAACGTACCCTTCCTGGTTCCTGCCTCGGAGGATGGACTGTCTCTTGGCTGTGCCTGGGGTGAGCGTCCACCCATCACAGCTGACCCTGAACAGCTGGTGGGCAGCGGAGAGGAAGGTGGGGAATTCCCTGGGCTACTAGTCAGCTTGCAGCCTGGCTGATGGTGCAGGGCCACGCGAGCTGCCTGGGCTGTGCTGTCCCCTGATCTGGGATCACCTGGTCATGGGAGGCCTGTAGATAGGAGGTGGGTGAAGGAAGGAAACTGTATTCTAAGCCTTTCCATTTTATGCTCTGCAGAGCTGGCTCAGCCACTTGTCTCCTGTGTGACTTTGGGCAAGTTACTTTCCCTCTCTGGGCCTCTGTAAATTAGAAATCTGGACTTGAGAGTCTCTGGAGGCTAGAATACCCTGGTTCTCTGAACCTGTGAAAAGGAGCAAGAAGAAGAGGTGTTCCCCTCCTCTCTACTCCTGGCCTCAGCCTGGGAGTGGTCTCTAGGGAGGTGGCAGTCATGGGGGGGTCCCTGAGTGGGGTCCCCCTGAGCTGCACACACCTGTGCTGGGGGTGTGGCTCCCACATTCAGGCCCTGAACACATCCTTCCTCATCATCCCTCCTTGCCCAGCTGCCTTGGGCTCTCGCCCAGCCTTGTTACCAGGCCACTGGCTGGGCCCCATTCTATGTGTCACCAGCCCTTGGCACCACCTCCTTGGAACTCTGCCTCACCTTGCCCAAGTCACCTGATCCGTCTCCCTCTCCACAGAGGGTGCTTGGCCTGACGAGATGAGGCAAGAGGCCTCCTGGTAGGTCCTCACGTAACCCTAATACCCAGGAGCGTCCCTCCCATCAGGCGGGACCAAGGGAAGGCTGCAGCTGGGCCCTCCGTGGCCAAGGGGGCCTCCAGGACTCCACCCTCCCAAGCCCACAAGTGCTGTCCACTCCCGGGCCTCCCCACAGTCACTTGACTATGGTCCTGAGTCCAGCCAGAGGGGCCCATAATGTCTGCAAATGTCCCTTTGGGGCAAGCTTCTGCCTGCCTGCCACCACCAGCAAGGTGAGGCCCGGACCTCTCTGAGGGATGCTTAGGCCCCAGCCCAGCTGGCAGCCTCCTCTCCCCTGACTCACTGCCCACAGCGCACCCTGTGTTCTGGGCACAGAGATTTCCAAACGGGGCTTTGTTTCCTCATTCCCTTCTGCCTTTGCTTAGGCTGTTCCCTCAGGCTGAGATGCCCTTCCCCGCATCTTCACTTGGACTCCTACCCATGTCTCAGGATGCAGCTCGGATGTTTCTCCTCTCAGAAAGCCTCCTCCACACACTCTCCACCCATCCAACCCACCTCCCCCAGCCCACGTCCCCAGAGTGTGTGTGCATGTCCCCCCAGCCTCTCACGCAGACCCGAGCACGTGATAATGCCTCTGTTTTCCAGCCTGTGTCCTCCCGCTAGTCTAGCAACGGATTTATCTGGTAAAAGCATCGTCTTTGTCCTTGATTCCATGGGGCCTGCTTCGTGCCAGGCACACAGTAGGTGCCCCGTCAACATCTGCTGGATGATAGAAGCTGCTCAGGGATCCAACACTTCTGGTCTGCCTTCTGCTCAGTGTTTGACCTTAGACGAGCCACTTCACTTTTCTCTGGGCCTCAGTTTTTCTACTTGTAAATCGGTCAGTACTCGCTTATGTCGAGAGATTTCAGATTACGGTAATTAAAAATCGAAACTCAGGAGATGATCAATGGTGAAGTTTACATTCATAATGCAATCTCTCTCTCTTTTTTAAAAATTTGGCTGCGCTGGGTCTTTGTTGCTGTTGGGGCTTTCTGTAGTTGGGGTGCAGTGGGCTGCTCATTGTGGTGGCTCCTCTTGTTGCGGAGCACAGGCTTCACTAGTTGCAGCATGCAGGCTCACTACCGCTTCACTAGTTGCAGTAATTGTGGTGCATGGGCTTAGTTATTCCTCCGCATGGGGAATCACCCTGATCCGGGGATCGAACCTGTGTCCCCTGCATTGGCAGGCAGATTCTTATCCACTGTACCCCCACGGAAGTCCCACAATCACCTTTTGATGATCACTGGAAAATTTTAATTCTACACTGGCTGTCTGCCACCTTTTAGCCTGTGTCTGTACCCCACCCTTGGCCATCTGTCAGGAATGAAAACTATTTGTAATGTCCCCACAGGAGCAGGTCAGGAAGAAAATCGGTGCTACATGTGGGGAGATGATACATACACATATATATTACACAAACTCCTATATATACATATATTACACACACATACATATTACATACACATATATTACATACCTGTACACACATATATTGCACATAATCACTTATACATAAATACATATTGCATGCATATACACGCATATCATGACTTTCCAAGGCCTGATACAGAAGACTTTGGGACAGCTTATTCTCCCACCCCAATGGGGCCAATCCAAGCAGCTGGCTCTAAAGATTCCTGTTGCTGTTTTTCAGTTGCTCAGTTGTGTCCAACTGTTTGTGACCCCATGGACTGCAGCACGCTAGGCTTCCCTGTCCCTCACTATCTCCCAGATTTTGTTCAAACTCATGTCCATTGAGTCGATGATGCCATCCAACCGTTTCATCCTCTGTCACCCTCTTGTCCTCCCGCCCTCAATCTTTCCCAGCATCAGGGTCTTTTCCAATGAGTCAGCTCTTCACATCAGGTGGCCAAAGTGTTGGAGCTTCAGCTTCAGTGTCACTCCTTCCAATGAATATTCAGGACTGATCTCCTTTAGGATTAACTGGTTGGATCTCCCTGCTGTCCAAGGGACTCTCAAGAGTCTTCTCCAGCACCACAGTTTAAAAGCATCAATTCTGTGGTGCTCAACCTTCAAAGTAAGGAGTTGGCTGCTAATTTTATAGTAATAAGGATGTAAGTTCTCTTTGGAAGTAAATTTAGCCCCTTGCTATCTTTTCCAGGTCTAATTTAAAAACCTTTTATTATTTTTTGCTATAGTCCTTCTAGAGTTTTCTCACCCTAGGTTTATGTATGTGTTTACCCACATATTTTTAAATTTTATTTTAGGATATTGGGATTACATTGTTCTGTAAATTCGCTTTTGTAAAAAATGAAAATGTAGCCTGAATACATTTTTACAGCAGTTCAGGCCTCTGAACAGGCGATGAACTCTGTTGTGGGCTCTTCTAGAAATCACATTTCCCATCCCCATGTTATGGAACCCCACGAATGCCCCACAGTTTGCTGAGGAAGCCTGAATTGCTGTAAATGAGAACCTACTTCCTCGACCAGAGAGTTGACCCGCCAGTCACACTGAGGAACAAGGTGTACAACCGCAATCTTTGGTGTACATCAGCCTTCAGCGAGGCCCCCTATGCAGAAGCCATCCCACCTCAGGACTCTCTCCTGAGCATATTCCCATTGCCCAAAGAGTGTGTGGCGCTTTCTTGCCACAAAGATAAGGAGGCACATGTTCA